ATCATAGGGGACGCTTGTTACACAGCAGCCCTTGAACAAGAGGCTTTTCTTTATTTATCTTGAACAGCATGAGTTTCTGAGGGAACGCCGGATTATTATGTTCGTTGGGAAAATATTACCCCCTGACCTAACGGAATCAAACGCCTTTCTCTTCTTGGTCAAGATGAAAAACGGTCCTTCATTACTTCTTTTAAATGCACGTTATTTGAGGACATTATAAGAATCAACCTGTGTTTCATTGAAGACGTATTATTGCTTTGAAAGGATAAGGTCAAAATTAAAATAACTTTGCCCTAAATCCATTCAGGCCTCTAAACGCTGGGATTCAACTCATTTTCCTACCGGCACATGGTTTTGCGTATTGTAGAGAAAATGAACTTAAGTTGCATTTTTTTTCTCTCCTTCAAGTCACATTTTCACATTGGAACAAGTACGATTATATAGTGTTCAATTTAAACTGCCTTGTAAATGAGGCATTAAAGCGCCACTTTGAATAAGGAAATAAGCTGATTCTTTGGAAGATCAACTCCTGACACATTGATGTATATGTGTTTTATTTGCCTCCATTTTGCATAGTGTATGTGTGCGTAAAGCTTAATAAGCACAATGTTCTACAGCATCAGAGGTTGCTAAATTACTTTTGGCGCGAGCCAGCTTTTATTTTTCAGTACTCAATAATCTGGAGATGAACGCTGAATGAATAAACATCAGTTCGTGTGTGTAAGTGGTCAAATAATCATCAGCTGAATATACAGAAAAGTTGGGCTAGAGGCCATCAGTTCCAGGCTCTGCATTTAGCATGCAAATGAGGGAGAGTCTTTATCAGTGCAAAGTGTCTGAAAAGCACAGCATGAGATGAATTAATGCTACCTCTGGCAGATTTAGGGTTAAAAGTAATCTTCTAATTTTTACAAACGCATATATTTGGACTGAAAGTATAATTAGCATTTTGCGACGTCCTAGCAAGAAATCTGACTTGAATCTGATAGAAGGAGGGAGCTAAAGATTAGGGTGATGGAAAGTAGGCCTTCCAGCCGCACAGGTCTGATCACAAAACAGAAATTGTCAAAATACTGTGGAAACATAAAGAAAGTTGGCCAACAGTAATATAAAATGGTTGGATTAGTGTCATTAAAATAAATATTTTGTAATGTCTATATAGGTATAAATCAGAGATGCACAATATTAGATTTTTTGTTCGATATCCGATATGCCGATATACTAAAACTCATTTGGCCAGTAACCGATACCCGATAGCGATATTTTTTCTTACTGAAACTATATAGCTTTTTCTACTCTGGAATTAAAATACTGCATTATCTTTGTCAATTTATGCTGCTACCAAATGCAAATGCTAAAAAGGAGGCTGAAACTGATCTAACATTTCCAACTTGCGTTATGTTTAATGTCAAATTTATTCATGCTCTCTGCTCTCTCTAAGACAATGACACTCAAACAGTGCACATTTGTAAATCTTCACAAACAAAAACTTCACAAACCTGCTCACAAGCAACAAGTGAAAAGCACATCAGTCGTGCATTAATGCTTAACGGTTTCTTATGACGTTGTTCTGTGCTGTAGGCGTCATTGTCACTGGATTGTCATATGTAAGGCCTTTTATATCGGTGAGTTATTTTGACGGTATGGCCGATGCCCGACATTAAATTTTACAGCTAATATCGGCCGATGCCGATAATATTGTGCATCCCTAGTATAAATATTTTTAACATGTCAATTTAGAATAAATGTCATGAGGTGGGGTTGTTGGTGGTGAGGAGAGACGCTGAGACCCAGGTTATAGTGATGATGAATATATTTAATGATGAAGATGCTCAAACAGTCCAACACAGGCAGCACGGCAGAGAGACAGGCACACAGCCAAATACCGGTAGCAACTGGTAAACAGGACTTAAACGAGAGCTAACGCTTTCCAGGACTTAACAGTTCTACTGGAGGCGAACACTAGACGTGAGACAAACGACAACGACAAACTTAGACAAGGACCCGACGAGGAACACAGACAACAGGTGGGTTTAAATACACACGGGGTAATTAAGGAAACGAGACACACCTGGGGATCAATCAATGGGGAGGACAGGACAGAGACTCACAGGGAAACAGGAAAACAGAAAAACTCAAAATAAACACAGATCATGACAATAAAAGGTAAATAAATAAATAAAAACATATTTATGTTTCAAAATTCCCTTTTTTTTTCTTTGTTTTATTAGCTGTTAGGCTGCCTGCCTGTTTCCAATAATAAACAATCCTTAGTTGAAAGAAAATGACTTCTCCACTGGAACATGTTGCTGTAAGACTATGAGAATATTTCAGAATCTTTGTGTTTTGTTCTGTTTTGTTATTGAATAAGACGTGATGTGAATATGTATTATATGTTAATATTAAAGGGGATCCCCTCCAGCTGTTTGGTCCTGTTGAAATTTTCATTGCAGCTCTTTTTCCAGAATCCAATGTAGGTGGCATAATTAAGCATAATCTTCTAAACAAGCCAGCAGATATGTTTTCTAACCTTTGGTAGTGGGTTGAGGCTTTATTGAGTTATATTAGCCACATTTTACTTGATTGAAACATAAATGGAAAACTTTTTTTTTTTTTTTTTTTTTGTTGGCCTATTTAAAAACAGTCATATGAAAACCAGTCGTCCTGTTTTATCTTCTGGTCCCAGTAAGTGTAAGGCACTTGCCTCACATGTGTAACAGCACTTTTTATGCATAAAGCTATTCAAAGTGCAACGCTGAACATCAAAAGAAATACAGAAAGGAAATAAAGCTTAAGCATAAAGGCATCGCGTAAAATACAAAGATGTTAAAACGCCGATTAGTAAATGTTTTTTTTTTTGTCAGGAGCTCATTAGTCAGATTCATTTGATCAAAAACTGCTGCAGAGAGAAGTTAGTAGCCCTGATTTAAAGGAATCAGCAGTTTCTGCATGTCAGGTTTTCATGGAGTTTGTTTGAGTTGAGGAGCATAGATCTGAAGAGCAGCTTAGAAATGTATTTCAACCCAAGAACGTTTACTTCTTTAAGGATCAATAACAGAATTTTTCAGATTATTAGACACTTTAAATGTATGAGAGAGATAATGTGAATATGTACAAAATGTGGGTTTTAAAAGCTGCTTTTAGTTATAAAGGGGGAAAAAGCGGTTGTCAAACCAACTGGCCATGTCTGCCTGAAAAGTAACCGGTCGCTTCTTACAATAAAAAAAATAAAAATAAAAAAAATACAAAGTGATTCCCAGCGTTTTGCTTTGTTCAATTTCAAAAGCCACAGCAAGACCTAATTACTGTTTGACTGGAGAGCCAGAAACACAACATGAAGTAGGTTAAGAGACCTCAAAGATCCACACGTCATGCCTGAATCTAAAGAAACTACAAACCAGATCAGAAACATTAGCAATGACATCCATCAACCTGAACAAGGTTTTTTGGGGGTTTTTTCTAAGACTTTTGGAGCCTCAGCTAACAGTGCCACAGCACTTTGTTTGAGGTGCTTGGCATAACCTTAAGTGGATCTTTCCATGCTAAAACAATCTCTCCAGTTTGGCTAAAACAGAAAATATTCTGTAAAGAACAGAGAACCAAAATCTCCCCAGTAGCAGTTCTTGTAATCGCTTAATGGTGAAGGATTTATCAGGTTTTCTGTGGCCGGCCAGGTTGGCTTATGTTTGATCCCTTACTAAATGAATTCATCGCCATAAACGGCTCCTTGCATTCACTCTGGTTATTTTTGTCTGTGCATCTCTGAACTAAACAATGCCGGGCCTCATTTGGCTCAATCCACTTCATCATGACAATCATAAAGGCATTGTCTTGGATTATCTTTCAACATAGAGATCTCCATAGTAACTGTTATCTGATTCAACCTGTTTCAATGACTGTATTTTGACTGAAATAACTGTCAGTGTGGAGAAATGCAATCTTTTTTTTTTTTTATGAGTTTAATATTCAGGTTTATTTGATTCTCACTTCCTTACACCAAGATACACTTGTTCGCTGTTCAGGCCTTGGCCTATTGATTGCAGCGGAAAGAGTAACAACTTACAGGATTCTACAGCGGTCGTAGCAAAGGACAGTATAAGAAATCCTGCCTTGAAATAACGTAACGTTAGATAGGTAAAATCATTTTTTTCTACTATAGATTTTCTTCCCTCGTTTGTTGAATCAGATATGAATCCAGTTTAAGCTGATATAAACATGCAGATTTAGTCAACACAGCATCCAAGGCGTCTGTTTAGTGTTTTTTTATTTGTTTTTGTTTATTTTTTGGTTTTTGTTGTATTGTAGGGTGTTGTTGCTCTTCTAATTAGCACTTTTTCAGTGCGATCCTCTCTTTCCAAGCGTTGAAGCATCCTCGAACGACACGCCGGAGTTGTTGTCGACCTTGTAGCTGCGAATCTGTGTGAGGTGGATGTATGATGAAGAGGGATCTAAATCTGGAGCGCAGTGTGGCATCCTGTAGGTGTGAATGAGTACAAAGGAATCTTATTTTGGTTCATTCTGTTGGAAAGTGGTGAATGCAATTTTGTGCATTTAAAATTTGATCTTGCATTTAAATATGTGGAACCATTATGTAACACATTTGTGTTTTGAGGCTTAATTGTTGTTGGACCATATTCCAACCCATTAGTGGCTGTTGGTTCATTTACTTGAATGATTCAACACTGAAAAGACCAGAAAACCTTTTTCTTGTTTGTTATTCTTTATTTGATGTAATTCATGCAAACCAAAGATTTATTTTCCCTTAATTTACACTGAAGTAACACTTTTCAAAAACAGATTGATTTTACACATCTAAATCTTCATTTATCATTTACTTTTTTACTTTTAAGTTACTTTGACTTTCTGTGTAACACGACCAACAATTTTTGAAGTTAATTTTAGACAGTGTTATGTTCAGAAAGGATGTGATAATCTTTTATTATTATTATTTACATCTGTTGTTTGTTTGTTTTTTTTGTTTTTGTTTTTATTTTTTTTAGTGGAGCTGAAATTTAACTTGGACCAGTACGTGAACAAACGCTACCCGGGCCTGGTTAAAATTGTGAGGAATAACAAGCGGGAGGGCTTGATCCGAGCCAGGATCCACGGCTGGAACGCCGCCACGTCTCCCGTCGTTGGCTTCTTTGACGCTCACGTCGAGTTCAACACTGGCTGGTAAGAAAAGGTCACGTTCAACAGGGGACAGTCCAAGCTGCCGCTTTGTTCTCGCTCACCTTTACCTTTGTGCTTGGCTTGTTAACAGAGGGATGTCATGTAACAGCATGTGTAAAAAAATATATGTTCTGCAGTTTGGTCTGGATCTGATATAACACTATATCAAGCTCTAACTGATACATCACTATCTACACAATGGCCCAAAACATAAATGTGGGTTTTTAGATGCTTTTTTTATGTTTCTCCACTATTAGCACAACTCCAGCAACTGATAAAGTTCAGCTTGAATGATGACATGCGCTGTGCAGTGCAAGGGTGTGAGTAGCGCATACACGAAACAGATTGAAACTGCTAAGACACGCCCCCTCACTCTGATTGGTTGTTTCTGACTGGAGCTTTGTGTTTCACCAGTAAGGACCACAGGGAGTTGCAGTACTTTTTTCTGGTTCACTGTAAATCCAGAACATAATCTTTTTTTTTTTTGTGATTATATCGACATTTCTAGAACGTCATGAATAGCATGCTACGTACCAGTCGCAGTACTTGCACCACAGATTGAGAACCCTTGCTGTAAAACATTTACATTCAGCAAGCAGTCCTGACCATTTCAGCTCAAAGTAATTTTATCCCTGGGTGCTGCACTGATTTTGGTGGAATGAAATTACTTCCCGAGATCTCACCATGTCTGCCCGTTTCATAAGTTTACCAGCAAGCTGAGATCGATGCAATTGGCACCTAATTTGCGCTTGTCACCTTGTCAGTATTTGAAGATGAAGTGTAGCGGCAGTTTCCTTGCAAGCTGCCTGGAAGGCAACAGTTCGACACGGGAGGAAGAGATGGCTGGAGGGAGAAGTGGAGGAATCGAGGAGGACAGCAGCTTGTGACGCTTGGGTCTCACATTAGTAAAAGTCTCTGGGTGATCCGGTGCTTCTGGCAGAGTAGATGGGTAAAAGTGAAACAAAAATATACAGCTATATTGTCTTTTCTTCACCAGGTGTGCCACAAAAATGACATGAATCTTTACATTTAAAAGATAAAATAATTAAAATAATGTTAATGTATTCACAATCAACGCAATTCCAACTTTAGTGTATGGTTGCAGCTAACAATTATCTTACTAATTAATCAGTTGTTCTCATGATTAATTGAGTAGTTCGATAAAAATATTTCACATTCTGCGGGTGTTTCATGTAACCAATTAAGCCTTTTTTACACAGCAATAGAAACAGGTTAAAATATGCAAATAAGCAAATGACATTAGCACAGCATTCCTTTATGTACCCTTAGTCATTTGTAGCAAAGGATACATCTAAAGAAATACTGTTTATTCATTTCTTGGTTATTTTTTGAATTAAAAATCAGAAAGCATAATGTAAGTAATATATTTTTTTTTTTATTGGGTGAAGCTAACACTATGCCTCTTGAAGAGTTTTGGGTCTTAAATGCAAAATATATGTATTTTCTTGTACATTTGTTTTTTACTTCATTAGTGCTTCCAGTATGTTGTTCTTTCTGCAAATTTCCTTTTTTTTATATATAAATCTGTTTACCCCAGTTAATGATTAATCAATTGCTAAATCAGTTGACAATTATTTAATCAATTAATAATCAGTTAGTCACAATTAATAATTTCAATCCTGCTCCAGGGTGATGAAAATCTTAAATAATTTCCCATAGATCCACAGGATTGCTTGTACAAATCCTGCAGTGCATCAGAATCTGATGTTTCCCTCAGTGTGCAAATCTTCCAGCCTGTTGTTCTCTTGACAGTTTGCTAACAATAAATAAACTGCTAACAATTAAAGACTAAACATGATTATACAGATTGTAAAAACTGTACAATAACCCTGAGATACATTTGGAAGTTGTTACTGGTCCACTTGTCCTGTGATGTGGGACTGTAAAGAGACATCTGATTTGACAGTGGACAGGAAGTGATGACACAATAGTTTCAGATGGAACTGGAAAATGGCCAAGGGATTAAATCATCTACTGGCTTTATGTAAAACACTGCAGTATGGCCTAGTTAATAACGTAACCTTTCATGGATATTCCAGTGCTAATTTCTTTTTAACTTAAACTTTGTAATTCTTTCCACTATTTCAGAAAAAAAAAACATGTTAAACTCAACCTGTAGTGTTTAGATTCTTCTAATTTTTAGGTGTATATTAAATTGTTTTTGACACATTCCCAGTGCACATGACCAGTGACACTTTTATTATTTATTATTCATTGATAACTTTCATAGCTGCAGCTTGCTTTAAGTGCAAACATGAATAAATTCAATCCAGTCAAATGAAATATTCTGAGTGTCACAAGTGTTTCCACACTCACTGAAGAACAAAAAGGTCAAAGGCCTCTGAATGCCCCTGAGCTTAGAGCAGAGCTAATGTGTCTGTGTGATTCTGACTTGTACAATGAGTTTACATTAATAATGCAACAGTAAACTGTAAATCAATATCCAGTTTTTAAACAGTTATAAAAGTTCTGCTTTGAGATCTAACACCGGTCTGTACACAATTTCTGAATTTAGGTATAAAGCTGAACTTACTACAAGGCTAATTTTACGGTGGTGTTCCTAAAAGAAAATATTTGGTGCACCAGTGCAACCGGTAGACAATTGTGGTGCAGATCCATTGGAACGCTGACCTTTGACCTTTGAGTCAAGACTCCTATTGTGGTGCCACTTGAATACCCAAACACCCTGAGAGCAATCCATTACTTTACAAATATTTGTAGACTCTGTCTGCATCCCTTGACTCTTGATTTTATTTTATTTTTTTGTGGCCACACAAATGACTAGACACTTGATTTTAATTATTTTTTAAGGGTTTCCCATACTTTAGTCATTATAGTGTCCATGGATGCTGACAAATAAGTCTGTCACAGTAAACTACTAACAAGTTAATCACATGATTTAAATGAGATTGATAATTCACATAAAGTTGATTATTATTTTTTTGAAGGGCAATTTTGTTTAGAGACTTTTTACTTACGGTTTTGATTTTGTGTGGGTTTTTTTTTTTTTTTTGGTTGTTGTGTTTTATTCTAGAATGACTTCCAGTTGCAGTGTGGAGCGTTCTGGACAAAATTAAACTTTACTGGTCGTCGAGAAGGCCAACTTCCATTATTCTGCCATTATCAATATATTATTGTGAACTGGCCTCAAAAACAACAATGTTAAGAAATTGTTTATTGCAACAAACACGTTGTCACCTTGATAGACCTGCTCACGAATCTCCTGAAGTTTATTTAGCTCAAATAAAAACATTTGAAGGGAGTCCAGCTTGCAGAGGGATGTTTTAATGATCCTTGGTTCATGGCTAGAACGCGACCCGCAGGCTCAGAGGTCACACACGGCACGCCAACCACTCAGGAAGCGGCGCACATGTGAATCTGCATCATTGCCTAATGATACAGATATTAATTGATACCTGTGCGGTTCCCGCAGCAGTTCTCCCATCTGTTCTTTCCATAAATAGATGTGCATTTCCTTCCTTCCCCCCGATATAGCCACTCTCGCCTCCACACAGCATTATCGGTCCCCACCCATCTCCGTTCTCACTCCGGCCCTTCACCAAAACAGTCTGTGGCCTTAGCTTTACCTGCTGCCAACGTGGGATTTGTTTTTCTCCCAGCTGCCATCCTCGCAAACATACGCAAACGCACACACACACACACAAATATTATTCACATGCAGCCTCACCGACAATCAGTCATCTTCGTTTTTATTTGACGACCAGCAGCAATAGCTTTTCCTGCCTTCAGATCTGCTTTTGCTTGAGGTTTTATTTACTGAAGTCAAAGAAAACGAGAGCGGCATCGCTGTGATCTTTGTTCAAGTGCCGTTGCCGGGTGGAAGGATATAGCAACGGAGGAGATGACAGGCATCTTCAAGAAGCGCATTTGTGGTGCTTTTCTATCAGAGTGTGTGTGTATGTAGATATAAATATATAAATATATATATGTGTGTGTGTGAATTTATCTCGGTCTGTATGCCTGCAAACACTGAATAACGCTCTGCTTTATTCAGATAGATTCACTCGTGTTATCTGCAGTTCCTCTTTGTTAGAACGGGAAGAATACCTATTTATCATAATATGATTATTCACCATGGCACATGCATTGATAAGTGAGATGGATGGTAGCTGAGATGTTGTGGTGAATCTCCCGTCAATGACCTTGCACTCTCTGCCTGTGCACACTGAGCCAGAGACAGCGCTGTCAGCTCCTAGCTGCAGCTCTGTGATTCATTGGCGAAGGCTTCCCCTCCAGGGGGCTCGGGGGGGTAGAGGAGGGGTACATTTGCAGCTGAAACATATCGCTGGTTCACATTATTATTAAGGCAAACATAATTGCATCGTGCCGTATACGGTGCGTTTGAAAGCAGTGTTCCATTCCCTCTCACCGCGCCGCCTTATAAGGATTTAAGAGGCCGCTGGCTCTCACCGCAGCAGCGACGGAGTCTGAATACCACAGCTCTGCTTTTGCTACAATACAAGGATGTCAAACTGTAGCTTAGGTTACTGAGGTGTTGCGTCAACCGCCGGTCCGTCCCTGCCAACACCTGATAATGATTCAGCCCTGTGACAGCGATTGTATGTCGCGCCCTAAATGGGAGCGTGCTGTAAAGAAGCAGATTAGGAGGAAGTAAAGGCGCCGTAATTAGGGCCAAGTGTTTCCATAGCGCCAACCGCCGCGGCTGTTCGGAAGCGCAGGGAAATTGATATTTATTTGGCTTCTGGAGTCAAATCTGTGGTTATTAACAATTCATGATAACCGGAGTTATGACTGCTCCATGCCGACTGTAACACTGAAGATAATATTGCTGTTGCAGGAAGATTTTAATAAGTGACAGCCACGCTTTGATGGATTTCAAACATGCCACTGCCTTTATGAGGCATTAAGAGCATCTGAGAACAAGACAAACTGAAGTTCATAAAACTAAACCTGGATCAAATCAACCTCTTGTATTTATTGAGTATGCCATACTTCCCACA